GTGGGTGGGTGAGTGAGTGCCTCTGTTTGTTTTCCCCCTCCCTTTGGTCATTATTTCCTCCTGGCAGTATATTGCAAAAAATGAGAGGTGGGAGGGGTTATGAAGGGACACTTTGGGAACATGGGTATGCCAAGTATGAAAAGCTGCTTAAACAGTTTTGGTTCTGAGAGCACATGTATAACATTTCTGCCAACTCATTAATGAATACATTTTATTTTGTATATCATTCAGCAGTCTGCTAAAAAAATCACTTCTCCTGATTCTATTTTCTTGTTACTGGGGTCTTGGATCTACCATAAAATGCACCCAGGCCCACAAATAAAAGGCAGATTACTCCCTGCCTTTTAATAGTCTTCCTTCATAAGTCTCTAAATATACTTAGAAAAATTTACTTCATGTTATGGTTTGATATTTTAAATTAATTTTTTAATGTATTTGAAAATCAACTTCAGTGGCTTGATTATATTGTAAATATTTTTTATTTATCTTTGGGAAATAATTGTATATATTTACGGGGTACAATGTGATATTTTGATGGATGTGTACATGTACAAATATTCAATCAAACTAACATATCATCATGTATGAAATTTTATTAATATTTTTCAATAGATTTTTTAATAATCTCTGTCCATTCCAATAAACTAAATGTGAAGAGGACCATACCCATTTTATAGCCCAAACATTGGTGACATTGAGGTACTGAAGATGTTATTTAAAGTTGTACAAGGTGTTAATGTCATTCTAAAATTTAAATTTTCATTCTGATACTCTAAGATTTAGAGCTTTAGCATATGTTCTATGAGATGATAAAAAACTTGATCCATATTATCTTAATAATATCATTTAGGTATCAGAGATAAAAAGACAGAAAGCTGAAACATAGAAAGATATTAAGTGACTTTTGGCAAATCACATATCAAGGTCACAGGAAAGCTGATACAATCTGGGACTTCCTCATTCTGTAAACTGGCCATGACTAGTTTTCTGATAAGGAACAACTTTTCTCCTTTGGAAAATGTGAAGGTTGAAGATTTTCACTGAGAAAGTAACGCCCCAGGGCACAGGGAACTTAGAAACTATTTTAGGTTTTTAACCTCAACCAAATATATTGATCACAACTTAACAATTTTTAGAATACTTGATTTCTAAAATTCTTGTTTAGATAGAAATCTAAATTTGAAACTGGGATTAAATCACATTTTTCTTCCTTCATTGTCTAGGGATCACTAAGTAAAATATTTTTAGGTGTTAGGTATTTATATATGTATGTTAAAATATATACATTTAGAAATTGTAAGGTATATAGAATTTATTTGGTAAAGGGTGATAAAAATAGCATCTGCTTTGAAATGTCTCTGTAATAACTTCTGCTTATCATCATTTTCAAACAGAAGACAAGTTTTCTCTATAAAAAATAGAGACTCAGATAGCTGGTAAGGAAAGACAGATCCAATCAGGCCAAAAGTTTACTAAGTTATTGTAACCAATCTAGGCACCCTGGAGAAGAGCATGTGAAGTAGGCTTCCATACTCTTAATTTCTAATTAGAGTGTCCAACTGCAAAATAAGCAGATTCTAGAAAACTCTGGCTGCCCAGGAAATTCTATTCAGGTTCCTATGGCTCAGTCCCGATGCCATCAACTCATCTGCTTGTTTTCCCACACAAACTTGATCTCACCCAGGGTCACCAGGCAATCCTTTTCCCAAAAGAAATCCCAAAGGAAAAGCTTTACATACACATGCAAGCAAATGGAAAGAGCCTCCTGGGTGGCACCTGTGGCTCAAAAGAGTAGGGCACCGGCCCCATAATGCCAGAGGTGGCAGGTTCAAACCCAGCCCCCCAAAAAACCCTCAAAAAAAAGAAAAAAAAAAGAACCTCCTTAAAGCTCCTCAACCCCTCCAGGAAGAACTACTTCCACATCATATAGAACCTGTATCATCATAAATAAATGTTGTGTTCCATGTGCATATACTTCAGAGTTTAGATCAAGAATTAGATTTGGGCCAGGCATGGTGGCGCACACTATAATCCTAGAACTCTGGGAGGCCTAGGAGGGATGATTGCTTGAGCTCAAAAGTTCAACATCAGCCTGAGCAAGAGTGAGACACTGTCTTTGCTAGAAATAGAGAAGGAATTACAGGTGGCACAGGCCTGTAATTCCATCTACTTGGGCAGCTGAAGAGGTTGCAGTGAGCTATAACACACTGCATTCTACCTAGGGTAGAATGAAAACAAAGACTGCATATACTCACTATTATATTGGAACTATTCAATCAAAACTCATGTGCACATAAAACTCAATGGAAAGCAGGCATGTGGGGGTGGGCAGGGGGTGGGGTAAATTCACTCCTAATGAGTACAACACATACTATCCAGGTAATGGGCATACTTACACTTCAACTCAAACTTTTACAGAAACAATTCATGGAACCAAAACATTTATACCCACCCCCATAACACTCTGAAGTTAAAAAAATAAAATTACAACCGTCTCATATTAAGCAAGCTATCGTGTGTACAACAGAGATATTTACAATTGATATTTTTGCTCTTGGTTTTAAGACCAATTCTTGATGGCATGAATATAATAATGAAAATATGCAATGAAAAAAATCTGAATACTTCAAGTACCATATATTCTGTTGTATACCTATTCTTGTCTAGTTTCTAAGCTGTATACCTTTTGTCTGGTTCTAAGCTGTATACCTTAAGTATTTTATCTTCAACAACAAAACATATTAGAAGTAAGAAAATTGAACTTGAGAGAACCTAATTAACTTACCCAGGGCATAGAGCTAGTAAGTGACCAAGCTAGGAATCAGACCAAAGTCTTTCTGATTCAAAGTCTCCCTGCCGCCCTTTTTTAAAACACTATCTCATTTTATTTCTAAAGATGTAGAAGATTCTGAACTACCTTCTAATAGTCTACATAGTTTTAGTAATAAGAAGGGAATTGATACGGCACATGGTTTTACAGTGTCAATTTTTTTAAATTTATTTATTTATTTATTTATTTTATTGTTAGGGATTCATTGAGGGTACAAAGGACCAGGTTACAGTGATTGCATTTGTTAGATGAAGTCCCTCTTTTAATTGTGACCCATCCCCAAGAGGTGCCAATTTTTATCACTTAAAACATGCCCCTCTCAAGCTCATTGTCACTCCATCTCTCAGTGTGGCCTATCTAGCTTGTTAACATCATATAACACTACTTTGTCCTCTCATTTTGTGAGACATACCTGTCACTAGATATAAGGACTTAACTTAATTCTCAAATTAATCTCAAAACCACTGAATTTTCCCAGATTAAAAATAATAACATAAACACATGTGTGGCTATAGAACCATAAAATGAATGATAATGAATCTGAGTTTGGGTGGGTATTGGTCACCCTGGTATCATTATGTAGAATGAATCCACTTAGTATATATCTAGTTTCTCTACTTGTGAATTTTATAATCTATGAAACAGAGATGATAATAGTATCTACCTCATAATGTCATTGTGAGAATTAAATGACATAATATGCATGAAGCCCTTAGATCAGTCCTTAGCATGTAGTAAGCACTCAAAAAATTTATTCTGTATGAGTGTTACAGGAATAAAAATCAATTGTGGTAAGTGCTACTTACATAGCAGGAACTCAGTAAATATGTATTGAATGGATTAATAAACTACATAAATTCTTCAAATACCTAAGTATTACTGATCTATTGTAAATTCTGCCTACTGTCTCGCACTGTACAATATAATATAAGGCAAACTGTTTAATATCACTAAGAATTCTGTGTAGTTTCCAGGAACATATACTGGCTCTGAGATGAAGCTAGTTTTGGAGTATCATTTCTTTCTTTTTTCTTTTTTTAGCAACTCTTTTGCTCTGTTGCCCAAGCTAGAGTGCAGTGGCATGGCATAGCTCACCGTGACCTTGAACTCTGACAGTCAAGTAATCCTCTTCCCTCAGGCTCTTGAGTAGCCAGGACTACAGAGGCCCACCATCACACCTGGCTAATTTGTGTGTGTGTGGTAGTGATAAGATCTCAAGATCTCACTATGTTTCCAGGCAGGTCTTCAAGTACTGATCTCAAGCAATCCTTGGGAAATGCTAGGTTATTGGCATGTGAGCCACAGTGCCCAACTAGGAGTATCATTTCTTTTTCTAATTTAGTATTTGCAGCCTGTATAGTGTGACTGTATAGTGTGTATTCCCTGGCTGGAGGTACGTGTGTGACCATTAAATGGATATAGATTTTTCCCTCTGTCACACAGATATGATTTATCTTATGGTACAATGAAAACAGGAGCTATACAAGTGTGCACACAGAAAGAGAAGATAAATGAGCTAGAAAACACAAAGAGGCGGCCTGTGCCACATATGCTTCCTGCTTGCCTGAGATATCTGAAATGCCCTGAAAAGTGAGGAAGACGATGTATGTCACTATTTGTGCCGCTGCTGGAGACGAGGGACACACTTACCTGATGATATCAAAACGATATTGCTTCAGAAGTTATTTTTTCTTAATAAATTTATTTTTAAATTATGTAATACTTAACTGTTTGAAACATTTATCTGAAATTATGATGCATTAAATTCCATAATCCCTAGGACTGGGGATCTGACTCTACTTTGACAGTGAGTTCAAAGGTTTGCCTCTCCACAGGGAGCTCTTCCTATCACTAGAACTAGTCCACCTTTAGAAACTCCACCTTTATGCAGCATGGCTAGAGGCCCCACGCTGTACTTCTGTGCTATGCTGTTTATTAGAGTTTTCTGTTTGGATATGTATTTTTTCTTTTAGAGTCTAGTGACTAAATTGTGAATTTTTTAAAGGCTATGCCTTATTTATCAGCAGTTTTTTCAGTTCCTGAGATAGAATAGATGCTCAATAAATACGTATCCATAAATTAATACACTTAACAGTCACACACACACCCACTCACATATATATTAGATGAGGGACATTAATATTTTTTCAAGTCTTTGCATGTTCCTCAAGTGCTTATGAACCTTTTTTAATTTTCTTAGGATCATATTATTGTGTTTCTGGGGGCCTTAATCACTTTGAGGAACATTTTCTAATCTGTCTGTGTTCCTTGTGGCGAGCATCACTTTTGTACACTGGACTCAAGTGTGCTGCTGTCAATTACTAATTATTTGGTTAAACCACAGAAAAGTGTTATGAATCCTTACTTTTGTTTGTACAGTACCTGCTTGGTGGCTTTATTATGTACATGTTAAAAATATATATATATGGGTTGTGTCAGTTAAGTGGAAAAATCTTACTTTCAAACAGGATTCAGCCAGTGTGTGGTATAAAGTTGGGAGTCCATAAATGTTCGTGGAATGCATGAACAAATCAGCCATTGTTGCAAACTGTTTTGAGGATGAGGTATGAGATTTTCTTTAAAAAGCTAAATGAAATGCTCGGTATCACACAGCAGGATAAGAGAAAATCTGCCACTTATAACTCATACTTCTGTGTTTCCAGACTGTTACACAAGCTTGCTGAGAAGGGCTGTATATGTCTGATTTCTCAACTTCACCCTGCAGTAAACTTTTGAAATCCGGAGGCTAGAGACCTCTTTTGTAAATGTTGTTTGCCCAATGACTGTGTTGGCACCAGGGAGGCCCTAGCAGATAAAGTGGAGGAGCATATGGCTTCCATCTGAATACAAATTGGTGGACATAACGTGGTAATTCAGCTGAGATGTCCTCTATATTGTAAACTGAAAGAGTATGATTAGAGGTATTTATAAACGGCGTCTGAATTCCCCACAGCCCTCCCCACTCCTTTTCCACTGTAGTTTTACCGGCCTGAATCATAGCCATCTAGCGTCCCAGTCTCACTGCGTTATTTGTGAAAATGGCCAGCGTGAGGAATTATTAATTAAAGCTAACAAATCACCCTGACGAGCTGTGCCCTGGCATGGCTGAAGGTTGATTGGCGAAAGTGTTCTCCTTTGGAGAAAAGACTTTTTGTGCTCGTGACGCAGTCAGGGACGGATTATTGAATATGCAAGTTAGAAGAAAAATCACAGGACAAGCAAATTGAGTATTTACTGGCAAATAATTGCTCTCTTAAGCTGTGGCTCTCTTCCTAAATTCTTAGCATTCCCGAGGGTTAGAAAGAAACACAGAAAAATGCATCGGTACAGAGTACATTTCAAAAAAATTACATAGACTGATGTTTCAGACGTGTGCAGGTAAGTGTGATTGTGTGTGCATGGAAAGTGAAAGAACAAGGGAAAGCCAGAGAGAGATAGGAGAAAGCATAACTGTTAGTCTGGTGAGTTCTTTTTAAACAACTTGTTTACTGGAATACTGCTCAGTATGTTTCTAACTTGCGAATTTAGTTTCAATGCTACAGTGATTGTAAAAGTTAGAGACGTGAGAATGAGAGAGAGTTTTCTGAAAGTTGTCTGTCTTTATCAGCAATAGAATATGTAATGGTTTGTCCCCAAAACAGTGAAAAGTTTTGCTCAGATTATTGTGGATATGTGTATAAAATTACCACTTGATTTAAAGATCTTTAGTTATTTTCAACATTGTTTATTATGACACATCTTAATAGTGTCCCAAATACATTTGGGTACAACTCTTGCATTTATTTTTAAAAGTAAAACTTGTTTTACATTAGGACCAAGCTAATACTTAACTGAGAATTCCTAAAGGGCCATTACTGTTGTAGAATACTTAAACTTTGGACTTCTCTAATCACCTAAGTTATTGTCAATTGTGTGGTCTTTTTATCTGTACTGTCGATCATACTACTGAGTTTTGTGGACATTGTAAGACAGGAGAGATTAGCTTAGAGGCTTTTTCAGAAATAAATTTAAATAACATAGAAATATGATAAGTGTGGAAATGAAGGCTGATTCTAAATATAAAATATAGACTATTGAGAAACAGAGATACTCTTGTAAGTACAGCTAGGTTATGGGAACAGCATTATCAAAATGTATATATATCCACTGAGGAGGAATTGCATATTATGAGAAAACCTGGGAACGTGCTTTCATCGACAACAAACTGTTTCTAAAATGAGAATAATTGGCTGGTAAAATAGCATTTTAGGGTTGCAGTAACTATGAAAAACATGGATTTAAAACAAAGGCATAATCATAATTTAGACTAAATTAGCTAATTAATAAATGCAAAATGCTTTAACAATAAAACATGATAGTTATGATAATAGGAATAATAATAAAAATGGAAAATCTGGAAAACACACAAAATTAAAACAAATGACTCTCACAGGTTTTAGAGAATAAGAATTTTATAATACGAGTATGTAGCATTTATATTTTTATCTTCTAATCTTATCCTTGTATATGAAATATTGTACAGGTTAGGAATTTTCCTATGTCCTATTTTATTAAAAATATAGTTTGTTATAGTATATAGAAAAGAGCTCAGAAGAAAGTTTAGAAAATACATTTTTTAAAGGTCTGATTCCCACTGGATCACATTCTGTCCTCAGATTGCAAGAGGCAACCTCCTTAAAGTTTCTTGTGACTAATTGAGGGCAAAATTTGGTCCATTATTTTGAAATAGCAAAGGGGGCATTTAAAGCATATGTTCAGAGACTAAACCATCTGCCTTCTTTATTATGAATACCACAAAATTATGAGAAGTTGGAAAGGCTCAAAAATTGAACCAGAGTTCTATGAAAGATTTTAAAAATACAGCACTCTGATTTAAAAAAATGTTTTACAGCTGCTTACTTTGCTAAGTATTTTGTTAGTCTTCTGTGGGAAAATAATATCATTTCACATTTTTGGTGTGTGGGAGAATGAATGGCAAAGTATAGTTGAGTGACATGACCCTGTGGCGAGTTAATGGTAATCCTTTCTCTCTGACTTAAACCACTGAATCTAAATACCTTGTGGAGTTTTGGACTTATTATTAATGAAACAGTGACTTAGAGAAACGTTATAAAATGGTGACTGTTGGAATAAAAAAGAAGTCCAGCTGCTAGCTTCTGGACTATGTACAAATGAGTTGCAAGAGACATGCGGAGACCAAACTCAGAGCACTTCTGTAATCCAACTGTGATGTAATAAAAGTATGAATCAGCGATTGGTTGCCCATGTGGGGGGGGGGGACAAAAAAATTTTTAAAGTGAAAACTGGCATTATTCCCAGGTGGTACTGTACTCCACTGGTATCTGTAAGACTATGAAATCCAGCAATTAAGAACAAAAATCATATTTAGGTCTCAAACAGCAGTATTTCACCCCAGGTGGTTATATAAGGACAAATCAAGACAAGTATGATTGTTAAGATGTCCAGGGCTCAGAGTTCTCGTATCTTATTGGCATTTTACTAGAATCAGACTGAGATTGGCTGGATCTTTGTCAGAGGAAAATGCAGAAAGAGTAGACCAAACTCTGCTGAACTAGAAGTTTTCACTATTTAAATGGCTTATCACTTTTGCTGTTTCTTAAAAATTATTCAACTAAGAGAAAATAATAATGGAAGCAAAGGACTGAAGTGTTTGGTTTGAAGATTCTAAGTAAAAAATGTGTGTGTCGTATAGATCTAATTTTTTTAAAGAAAAAAATGTTTTCAGAATTGCACTCATTAGTAGACTGATTAAACCAAGGACTTTTGTGTGGGTATAGTCTAAAGATAGACCACAAAGATTTTGAAACAGCTACTTTAACTTTCAGAACTTAAGGATGCCAGTCAGACAGAATTGGTGATCTGCTGCTGAAAATACCTATGTCCAATTTCACATGTATTACCACATAATAGAACTTTAATTTTTAATTCTCTAAATTATAGTACTACAAATAATCTAATGAATATATCAGCCAGAAGAATATGAAATTTCCCTATTATTTTAGGAGGCTAGTTTTTACTTTTGATTTGGGATTTGTGTGATATAAATACCAAATACATACATACACATTACACATTTTTACATTATTTCTGACACCTTGTTCTGATAAGGGAATTAAAATTTTAACAAAGAAAATTAACAGATAACCCAGCAAAATGCATAAATTAGAAGTGTGAAAGTTAAAATAATAAAGCTAAGGATATAAATACACATTTAAGAGTGAGATCAGTATAGAAATATGTTCATTAAAATGCAACACATTTGTTTTTAAACTTTCTTACAGCCAAATTGAAGAGGGTAGCATCTTAGGCAATCTGAAACCTTTATTAGAATAGTAAAATAATTTCCATTAGTTGTCACTAAAGCTCTTGAAAAAATGAGAGACTCTGAGCTTTAGAGAAGTTAGTACTAAGCAACTTCCATTGAAAATAATTATAGGTGCAGAGACCTAAAGGGTCAGGTCAGAAACAGCAGCAGTACCTCCCCTGAGACATGGATGTGGAAGTAGACTAGAGTAATCCCTTTTTAATCCTAGGGCATAAATTTCTGGGGCCGACGGGAAGAGGGGTGGGGAGTGGAGGGCAAAAAAGACACAAATAGACAAATAGTACAAAAATGTTTGCAAGCCGGAAATCTTGTGGAAAACAGGGAGTTAGGGGAATCCTAAAAAATATTTCGTATAAATAAATACATGGCAAACTGAAGAACTAGAAGGCATCCATTTTTATTATAACCGTTAAAGTACACTATCAAATCAAACTTTTGAATCAACATTTCTTCCCTGAATTTTTCATAAAACTTTGCTATACTGTTGCCATTCTTCTTTCACATTTACTTTAAGCAAATTGTCAATCTTCTTGAAGTTTTAAAAAGAATCCTTTCTGGCTTAAAATTGAAGATTTCTTGCCCTTCTGTACAGGCTAATTCATTGCCTTAGTAAACAGCCCAGTCTTTTCTTATGTAATTTTGGCGGTTAAGTCACATTTAACATGCTAGTTTTCTCTTCATAGGGAAGAGGTGATGCGTAAATATTTGCCTTCATGTTTTTGTGGCATTCTAATCGACAGTAAGTAGTCCAAGGACCCCCTATATCAGGATTACCTAGGGTGCTTGTTAAAATTGAGATTTCTAAACCCCATCCCAGAATTTCTAAATCAGAAGCTCTGAAGATGGAGCCTAGGGATCTGCAGTTTAGGAAACTACCCAGGTGAATTGTGCACTGTAAAGTGTAAAAATCACTGTTTTAAACTTGGGACTTTAAAATTTTTAGTGTATGAACATAAATTAATAGGATTTCCCTACCGCAGCTGGTGCGGGTTTATTATACTGTACTAATGGTAGATAAACATTAATGCATGTTCAATAATATGTGATGATTGCCTTCTAACAAGTCTGGAAAGATCTAGCTTAGGAAAGTACTATGAATTTGAACCTTTAAGCCATATCTCACTATTTTAGAAAATATTCTTTAATTTTTAAGCTTTCACTTTATAAGAACTTCTATAAGCTAAGCATATGTTAGGTTTGGTTACTAAAGATACAAAGATAAATAAAAGAGTCCCTTGTTGGGGGAAAAAAAACCCTTATAACTAGAATCATTATATTATTACTAGAATATTATCCATATGATGATAATTATGAATTGCCACACAATCTCCTCTTTGAGCAAAATTCAATGTTCCATATTGTATTATATCGCTGTGAATATACTGTTTGTTGATAGGGATGTTATATAGTAGGACCCTACTATAATTTGGAAGCTTCAAAACATGAGAAACTCCTTTCGGGTCCTCCTGTTTGCCTCAGTTGGGATGGAAGGTCTCATGGGGTCCTCTTGATTCCATTTTTCTCATAATCAATTAGTGATTTGTCATGAGAATCCTTTCTGAGAGGAGGAAAGAAGTGTGTGAGCAAGTGAGTGCATGAGACAATCTGAGAATTTGTGTGTCACTTTCCCCACCCCTCTGGTGGCTCAGCTGTCCTGTGAAAGATCCTGGAGCTTACCTGGCAGCAGCCTCCCCAGGTGGCAGATAAGGCATAGTATGATGGGGCCCCAAATTGTTCTCAGCTGGAACTCTGAACCACCTAAAGGGAAATTAGGTATTGACAGGCTAGGAAGAACACATTGCACATGAAGGAATTAATTGGGTAGCTAGTCCAAGGAACAAGGTAAGAGCTTGTAATTTCATTGGTGATTTATGTCTTCCTGGAAAAGTTTTATTTATGGACACTCTCCCCCTTTATTTTCAGAACAACATAAAAAAAATCATGAGAAATTCTATATGGTCTTTTTTCTTTCTTTCCTCCTTTTCAACATATACTTATTGAGAATTTAGCGCCACGCCCTCGGGATATAGTA